CAGAAGCATGGCTCCTTCTGCAAGAAGGCTGATGGAGGATTGGTCCTGTAGAGAGGGCCCCGGGTGCCCGCGTTCCCCCAACCACCCGCCGGTAAAGCCCCGTTCCGCCATTTCATCTCGCAGGCAAAGGGACCTCGACACGCGAACCCTCAGCAGCTCAGCCCTGTTTGTGCCGGTAACAGGCTGCTGAGGAAGGGGGGTGCTCTGAAAAAGACAACGCGTGTAAGACGAGTTCCGTTACCGAGATGGTGCATGCAAGAAGAGCAGCTTTCTTTTTCCCTGTTGATGCAAAGAAGGCCAAAATGTTAGCAAGCCTTGAACATTATTTTGCAAAGTGTTAGCTCTGAAGCCGCTACATCAGTACTTTGCTCTTCTGAGATTGTAACCGAAGTCTAGGTACAAGACTTTTACCCTGAGGTATGAAATGCAACTTACGCTTCCTGTATCCTGGGATGAGCTGTAAGAGTTTGGATACTTCGCACTAACACGCTTTACTTGGACAGGCAGCGAGCCATCGCCAGGCAAAGGCGGGCAGTGTGGCGGCACAGCACTAAGCCAGAGGTATCGTGGGCTTTTTCGGAGGAGCCAGAACTACCCCAACTCCTCAAAGCCATGAGGCTTGAAGCAAGGGGTGCTGGGAGGAGCATAGCAAACTTCTTGGTTCCCATGGGAAGCTGTGTAACCGTACCCTTTAGTGAAGGCAGTACTGGGAAGAAACATTATGGAAAGAAACTTGGTATAGGCAACAACGATGGAGGAATCAAAGTCTGCACTGCTACAGAGAAAAGCATCACTAAAATGGTTATGTACTTGTAGAGTCATCAAAACCAAGTATCTTGTTTCCACCAGGAAGTGAGATGCTTCCACCGAAAGACGTGCTTGAGCACAGGGAAAAGGATATAGCATAGATGTAAGACAGTGCACATTTTATTGCAGACAGGTCACATTTTCATCAGTTAAATAAGGTTAAATCAGTAACTTCAGCCAGACAAATCCACTTATTCATAAAAGTAGTCTTATTTAGGGTGTAACAAAATTTTCCTGATAAGATGGTCTGATTGACTGAAGCACATCCAGCTTTTTTTTTTTTTTTTTTTACTGCACCAATAATCAGATTTTTAAAAAGGATTCAAACCTTTGGTAAAGTACAGACACAGTTTTAAGATGAACAGCATCAATGTTCTAGTCTTACTGTGCTGGGAAAAATAAGTACAGCTCTGATACCTAGAAGAGGTTTAATTAGAGTAAATGAAAGACTTTTAAAATAAACTTTTAAAGCAAATCTAAAAGAAAGAAACTAAGTTCAATGTCCCAAACATATTTAACAATGAGCAGAAGACTGGCTGTTCCACAGGTATTCTAAATTAGTGACAATTAATTAGTCCACACATCCTTTGTCCAGCCATTACAGATTCCAAAATGGAATGCAGTTTTTTCAAACCAAGACTTCTGAATTTTCATATCTACACAATATTTAAGAAATGTCTATTCCACCATATAAAAAAAGCTTTAATGTACTACAAAGTTAAAAACAAAAAGAAAATGAAACAAGCTAAAAGTAGAAAAATACATTATAAAACATTTATATTTTGTTCCTTACACTGATCAAGATAAAATATTTTAGAGTAGACCACTTTCATAAATTCATGGCATTTTCAGAAGCAGACAGTTATTGACTCAACAGTCACTAGTTACTCACTAGCCAGCATCCAGTTAAGTTGTCTGACCATCGCAAACCTCCAGTATATTTTAAGTTTCCAGAAATCCTGTGCAGACATTAAGCTTTACGATTACTAGGAGAGTCCAGAAATAACAGAACTATTCTAACTTAGGTTTGACAGTCAGTCAGCATCCCTTCTCTTTATGGCAATCAGCCTATCTTTTGTGAAGAAAGACCTCGTGGATTTAGATTGCCCTGAATATACAGCAAGGACCTGTGTCAGCTCTGGGGTGAAGGCAGCAGTCCTAGCACACACTTCCACTTTTGTTGCCTCATTGCTTGCATTCCTAAAATTCACATGAATCATGATATTGAAAAAACAGAGATGATGGGGGAAAAAAAACAATTTGAAAAAGAGGTATTATCTAATAAATATCAAAAAAGAAGACATTTACACATAATGGTGCTGAACCTAGTTTTAAGCCCTTATTGTCATGTTTTTCTTTTTCCCGTGCAGCCAATGTCTGTGCTGCAGGCAGGGCTGCCTCTGACCAGTGGGTGGTGCTGATCTCACAGCAATAACAGCAAAACCCTCCAACATTGCCCCCTTAGGATTTTAAAAATATGTATCTATGTAATTTCGTTTGGAAAATGTATTTGCAGCATTTCCCTAACATTGTTACCACTAGAGTAGGAAACGGCCTACTTTTATAGAGCTTGTCTGGATTAGACATAAGGTTGCAAATATGGTGTAAACAAGTTAGTGGAAGGTCTGTGAGCAACGGTAAGAAGATCAGACGGCTATTAAGAAGCGCTCTCGGCTATTAAGAAGCGCTCTCTTTAAACTGGCATTAGAAAAAAACCTGATTCCACTTCAAATAGACATGTCTGTTACTATCAAAATCTAATTCATATACATGCATGTATAAATACATCCACCCATGCATTCAAACCCGAGTATGTAGCACTGCCATTGGTAGCCTATAACATTAGATTTATACCAACTAAAACAAATTTGTGTTCTCACTTTAAGGCTGGCACATAAACAGGTTTTACACTCTGGCTTGCTCCTGACAAATTTCGCAGTGCATGACAGTTTTATGTCTAACTCCAGATGCCACGTTTCCTAGAAAGCAACAATTTTCTGCACCCGTGAGGTCTATGAGAATATCAGCTCTCTGTTTTGTGCACAACGTGTTGCAACAGTCAATTGTCCCAATTGGCACTTAAGACTGAAAGGAGAGTTGCAGGAATTGCTGCTAAAGTGTAATGACTGTTCCGTCCTCCTCGATACCTCCTCTGGGGATAACCAGACTGTGTCGGGGATCAGTTTTTAAGGAACTGAGTAATTTGTGGATGTTGCCGTTGCTTTCTCGGCCAGAGTTGTTGTTGAGCACCAGGTCCCTTTGAAGTCTGTGGCTAAGGCTGCTGCCATTGATTCGAGAGAGGCTACTGGAAGTAAGGCTGTGCAGTTTAGGAATGTGCTGCGGTTCCAGACCGCCCTCAATGACAATGTCAGCCTCTTCGTCGCTCTCCATTTCATCAGGGTGGAAGTTCTGCAGCACGTGGGATGTAGGCAAACTATGGTGACTTGCAGTGCTGTCTGTAGACTGGCCAGAGCTACCAGACATCCTACTGCTTCGAATAATATTGTTCCTTTGGTTCGCTGGTTTGACCGTGATAATAAGATTATGGCTGTTGGCAATCATCATGTCTGTGACTTGGTCGAGAGTCTTTCCTGCTACTTCGATCCCGTTAACTTCCAGGACTTCATCATTCACAGCCAGCAAGCCTGTGCTCTCCGCTAAGCCTCCAGGAACCATACGAGAAATGAAGATACCGGGCACTTTTTCTAGTCCATGAGGAGTAACCCTTACGCTGGTGCCATCGCGAATGTAAAATCCCAAGGGTTTCTCACACCCGTGTCGATACAGCCTCACTCTCCTGTGTGTTTCAGGAAGAATGTCCACATCGATTATGGAAGACACTGGTCTAAAATCATGAGGCATGCTAATGTTAATGTGAGGACGCCGACGGAGGTTGTCATTGCGGAGTGTCACCAGAGCCTTCTTCTTCCTTGATAGTGTGTTGGTCCCAAAATTACTGTAGTCAACTTCATCTGAAAGAGAAACAGTACCAGTGTATCAATCAAATAGAATAATTCAATCTAGAGAACATTTTCTTCTTAAATCTGGTTCAATGGAGCCATACTCCTTTACAATAGGGAAAACAATCAGATTAATTCTTCCACTGACTCTAACCATTGTTTCATTTTCTGTCCATCAGCACATCATTCAGAATAAATGAATTGTTTTCAGTGACCACTCATATTTCTTCAATATTTTGAGGGAAAAAGACTTCTAATTCTCAGCTCCTGTTCTCAGCTGTGCAGAATGCAATTACTTGCAGCTGCAGGCCTGATGTACCATCTTAGATGTGAGACCATATTTTCAGAGTTGGACTGTAATTTTACACATACATCTCAAATAGTCAAGGAGTGCATACACATTCCTAAAAGTCTGAATTGGGGAGTGTTTTAATATCCAATACACAGCCTTAACTGGTAGCAGATCTTAGGTACAAACATGAAAGCAGAGTGTGAGAGAGTAGTTGGATATGTGTTTTTAGCCTAGCCTTTTTTAGTAAGGAATTTATGTTAATGTGCATCTCTCTGTACAGCACTTTTCCGTTTGTAATATTTTATTTCATTTCAGCTGAATTTGACTGCAATAAAAAGTGCTAAAAACACCAAGTACCAAAGAAGTTCTGTGTAAGCAAGTGGCCCAGCAGGAAGAGAAGCAGGGAGAAAGAAACTGCTCTGCTGCCTAGTCCATACGCTAGGGATCACAGAATAGACATGAACTCACACACACACTCCTGCCCTTGAGACGAAGATCCACAGGAAAGCAGCCTTTGTAGGGTCTACTGTTTAAGGAATTTTAAAAATATTTAACTTTCTGTAGCAGTATCTCAAGGGCACGTGCAAAGTGATCAACTTTAGATCAGCCAAATAATAGGACAAGTTATTCCATATGAGAACCACATGTTGTGCTTTGCATAAGAAATACTTAGTCGTGAAGTAGTTATTGTACAAAATACGTCACTGCATTTTACATTAAAAATACTGTCCATATTTTAAACTTGAAGCATGGACTAGTTGGAAAATTATTTCACCAGGAGTTTAAGCATGCTAACATTTTTCAGATAAACTAAGACTTTCAGTTTATTCCACTGGTGAAGACTATCAGTAAAATACAAATACAATTGTAAAAATACAAAAGTACAATTACAGAACTGCCACTAAGAAAATTTTCTCTCTGGCAAATTAACCCTGTATAGTAATGTTTGAGAGAGTAAGACAATATCTCTACTTGATAAAGGCTGAGGGGAAAAAGTGTTAGTAAAAACAAGCTTATAATTACATTTTTTTTCTTGCAAGGTCTCATTTTCAAGTTGGCTTTCAAAGCATATTATTGGCAGACTTCAGTTAAATGACATTAAGTTACACATCTCAAAGGACATTAAAAAAACGTGCTTAGCAGCAACCTGATTGAGCTGAGCCTGCTTCGAGGAGCATGTGGGATTAGCTGGCTTCGGGAGGTCCCTTCCAACCTAAATCATTCTGTGATCCTACATAGTCCTTTGGGCTGGAAGAATCGTTTGAAGACTTCAGAAAGACCACTTCTGCATTCTCCTATAACTTATTCACACTGGCTATACTAACACAGAGAAAATCACAAGTTATCTAAGTGGTCATCCTGAAGGAAAAGCTTCTGTGAAATACAGATACTCCTCGGACAAGTTTGTTGTATTTAACTTCACACTCACCCCTTCTCTTTCCTCCCATGCCGTTCAGAGCTTTACCAACTGCACAGGCCCTACTGTGTTATTTAGACTGGTGAGGGCACAGGACTGGAAGTCCTTGAAATCACCCAAACATGAGACACTCCAAACTGGTTCCTGGAAGCATATTCACAGCCAAGACAGTGACTGCATGGAGATGGCACCTTCTCAAGTCCACTCAGTGAGCAGAGTCAGTGCATTGTCTACTCTTTTGAAGGCACAAGCCACCCGCAGCAGACAAAGCCAGGTATTACTCCTTTCCTTTCACGAACAGGACACCATCAACTTTGATGGACGATTTTGAAGGCTGGCAACAAATACTTTTTCCTCGTAAAGTATGTGTCTGCAAGAGGTGTCTTCCATCATCGTAGTCTCAAACACTGCACCCTACTCACTCTCCCAATGCACTGATAAATTTCTGTGACAGTGCTATGAAAACAACTTGGGGATTCAGATATAGAATCAATATTCTTTCTCACTTGAAACATAGTGCTCTGGAATATTAGCACTGTAACTTCAAGTCTGAGAGTATCTTTACCCCAAAATTTCAGTTTAAGATGGCAATTAAAATTAAATGTGGGTTTATGTGTTTAAGACTGTCTTTCAGTACTGGTAAACCAAACTCAAAACAAAAACTGCATCCCTTGAAGACTCAGAAACTTAGATGGGTGAGTGCAGTTTATTGCACTGCAGGTAAAATGAAACACATGCCCTAGGTACCCATCTATTCTCTGAAAGCACCCAGGTACTGTTCTTTCCCTCTCTCTGAGTTAAAATATTAATACTAAATTGCTTTAAGGCAGACTTGCAAAAGCTTTACCAAATAATTCACCTGGGAAGATTTGTGGACTACACAGTTTTCTTCCCCTTAAATTAACAACAACCCAGAAAGTTAATTCTCAGAACATGCACATTTGTGATGATCAAGTAGTAATGTCACAGTTAAGCGCAGGCAAGAGAAGTACGATGGTCCTCGGGGCACACATAGGTGGGTCATTTCTGAAGCAGCTTCCTCTGGCTGAACCATCACCAGGGCAATGGCACAAAAGTGCTTGTTTTGTGTCTGTGACCTCCTCACCTGCCCTCAGACCACTAATCTCCCTTCCCACATGATTGCCAGCATTCCTAACCTCCTTTAATAACAAAAAGCTCAGTTTACCACAAAAATGCTATCTTTTTCCTCCAAATACATCCCAGACAGAAGCAGGGATTACATTACAAGTTACACAGGCTACTTTTGATGTTGGACCATTGACCATTTTTTGTTTTAGCATTTCAGGGCTGGAGGAGGTTAAAAATGAAGGCCACGTCCTGTTGATGACTGGATACTTTTTGTTTTTAAAACTGTATCAGGCATCAGTTTCCAACTCTGACCCCAAACAGGATTCCATATGAGAAAGATGAAGTCCCAATTTTAACAAGTAAAACTGTTGAAACCTATTATAGGTTGGAGAAATTAGAGATAATTTGGAGACCTTCTACAAAAAAATCCCAATTCTATTATCTAGGAAAAGTTTAAGTACAGAACAGACACTCCTTCAAAATACTGAGACTACTCAAGATGACCTGCTCACTAGCAGTTACACTTGCTTTGGACTCCACCTTAAAATAAAAAATTAAAAACCAACCAATCCAGGACAAAACAGCCTCCCCCTGCCTCCCTCCCCCACTACTCAAAGCCACTACCCTTGCTGCAGGAATAAAGCAAAGTATCTACTGAAGTTTAACATCAGCTGTTGCTGTAGCAACAGAAAGTCATCAATCCCTAGCACAATGAAAAAAAAAATATTTTCCTTCCTCACATGGGAACTGGGAGAAGTCAGCCAACATCACTCTTACCAACTATGGGGTGGTCAAACAGCAGTGTATTTCCAGTAATACATAGTTCAGATGACACATGTCAGACTGAAATGAAAACTGTATCACTGCATAATTTACAATGACACACTTTTAATAAAGGTCAGTTACTTGTTCTTAGGTTTTGAGTTTCTTCACCATATAGGATTTTTTTTGCCACTTTAGCTAATGGAACAGACCATGCTTGAGGCCAGGTCTCCGTGAAGACCAGTATATACCATATGGAACCACACAGGGCTTGTTTTTCATGCTGTTGCAATATCAAATTCTCTTTTGCAGGGCAAAAAGTCCACAGAAATCTGCACACATACTGGCAGAAGTGCCATTAAGTGGCACATCTGAACAGTGCTTAAAGCCTCATATTTTACAGGGCATAATGTTTTTCTAGGTCTTGAATAAGGCTGAAGTGAAATGTTACATGCAGGTGATAGAGGGAGAATTAGTCTTTTAGGTGCTGAATATGATCCCCATTCTTAGAATGGGGCAGAATATATGGAGCATTTTCATGTACAAGATGTAGTTCATTCAGACAAAGATGTACCATGAGCTGGATGGATAATCCTGGATAACCACTAAACTTTGCAAGACTGGAACCTGAGTTTTACTTGTACCCATAATTTGCTTCCTACTGAAAATACTGTTCCTATAAAAAGAGGTGGAAAGAAGATTACCACAGTTGGAGAAGGAATCCTCATTTTTTCCAGTTCTGTCCTACTTGAAACTCCAACACAAAGCTACACAAAAAAATACCTCAAACCTTTTTGTAGGCACTGAATATTATTCAAATTCTTTTTCCCAAAGGCTTCAGTTTTTGGTACATTTAAAGAAACATTTTGTTATCTGGCACTGAGTTACATAAAACCTTAAGTATTTGGCTGCATCCTCTCTGTCAACACGTGCTTTTTTTTTTTTTTTTAAATAGAGTTGTCAATACCTACTTACACATGAGGACTTTTCTCTTAGAGAAGAGATGCTACAGATCTCTTCATGCAGAGATACACCTGTGTTCACTTTCTTGACAACAGTGGTAGTGGTTTTGTCTTTTTTTTTTTTTTTTTTTTAATCTGGTGGAACTACCTCCACTTATCCAGCAACAGTAAAACCTATTAAAAGAGGTTTTCACTTCCAAGCGTGGGTATTTTACTACTAGAATATTATTTTTTAAAAAAAATATATCTAGAAAGTTATAGATGGTAACATCTTTGAGGTACTCTTCTAACAATTCTGTAGTCAGCATGTGACTTTACAGAATACATTATACCTTTCTGGTGGGCATTATGACCCTTATTGTTAAGTCATACAGTATAATAGCAGAGCATACGTAAAGGGCTGTTTATAAGGGAAAGAAAACTGCTTAGAGCATCTGGTTATAGCCAAAGGAGTATTGTATTTCTTTAATTTACATGAAACAAGAAATTA